GATATGACATTAGTTCAACAGATGGCGAGGATAATGATCAACATAATAAAGTTAAAAAAAAAAACTTTAAAGGGTTTTCCATTAAAGCCTGAAAAGGATTATATTTCAAACATATGAAGTCAGAGCAGGATTTTAAAAAAATATTTATATTCAGTAAGCTGCTCATCAGTTGGGTAATTTTTATTTTATTTTTAAAATTACAACTGTTAACTTATAGCTTTGGTAAAAACAAAACAGTTGTCGTGTTTTACTCAAAAATAAATTCACAGACTCCCAACAAATTTAATATTTAAGGAAAAAAATTAAAAATTGCAGAGCATTACAAAAACAAATGTTAACCATTGAACACATACATTCGGTTAGATTTTAATGCCAAAATGTGAGTGAAAGTTTTTGCCTCATCATATTTTACTTCATTTTTTTAATTCATTGTGTTTTTCCAGCTGTGTTGAAACATCTGCACAAACAGCCACCTAAATGAGCTTACCCCTCTGAAGCTTCTCATCTGTCGGTCTCACTATCAAACATATCATCTTACCCGGGCTGTGGAAAATCAATGAGTCCAACCAAAATGTCTGCACCACCTCCTCCATTGTTCCCGCTCTCCTGGCGCGTCCTACAGCTGAACTTATTTGCTGAAACTGTTAAGGATAACATTTGGAATCCAGACACCTGATGTTTCTCCTTTGGTTAACTATATTTTTCTCAGGTAAGATTTTTTTTGGGCTCATAAAATAGTTTTATTGTCATCGAGGGTATTTTAGAAACTCTCCTATCACAGTTTAGAAAAAAAGCATACTGCTGAGATCTGATTAGTCATAATTAATTCAGATTTATCTGAAAACCTCAACAGTTTAACAATCTTTAAACAGTTTTCACATAATATGTTTAGCTTGAGTTTTTGTGATCATTTAAATTTTTAGATGCATACTCTACATTTGCATCAAAAGCCCACCTTAGGTCAGAATTGTTTAGATTTTCTTAATCAGGACAAACAGATAGTCATTGGTTTCTTGCTGGTYTGATTATAATCTGGTTCTGATTTGTAGCTCATCTGGCTGAATGTGTGCCAGAGAAGCCAAAAAGATCCGCTCTGAACCAACTGACACGGACCCTCCTGAGGAAATATGACTGTGGAGTTCGACCCGTTCACAACTGGACCAGTACTACAACGGTGTACATTGACCTGATACTACAGTCTGTTCTTGATGTGGTATGTCATCTTTATGTTTTTGGGTTTATTTGCTTTTTTACAATACATTGCRTGAATATGATTCATGTAAAATGGAGAACTGGCTCACATCTGACAGCATTAAGGCTTATTTTTATTTGCCAGGATGGGAAGACTCAGAGCATCACTACAAGTATTTGGTACAGACAGGTATGTAGCCTCTCATCGTTCACTTTCTGTTGCTCATCATTAAGTTTAAGGAGGCAAATGTCTCCCTAAATGAATCAAATCGCCAAGTAGTTAAAAAGTATAACTGTTTGACTGAAACTATTTCTTGTTTAGTTTGATGATTTTTTAAGTGTTTAATTAAGTGGCAAATTAGACAAAAATGAGTTTATGTTATTTTACCAGTATTCTCCACTGCTGTTCTCAGATCTGGAGAGATGAATTCCTCGTCTGGGACCCCGAAGAGTTYGATGGTATCAATGAGATCTCACTCTCATCTGATGCCATATGGGTTCCTGATGTCATCGTCAGTGAATTGTAAGAAAATCCCCACACTTCTTGCTGTGTGTCATCAGAGAATAAAACAAAAATGATGTTTTATCACTAACCTCTTCTTTCTTTTTCTGTGAGCTCAGTGTGGAAGAAGGGAAGTCCCCTCCGATCCCYTACGTTTATGTCAACTCCTCCGGCTCGGTGAAGAACTATCGGCCAATTCAGGCGGTGCTGGCGTGCAGCTTGGAGATGTACGCCTTTCCGTTTGACAAGCAGAACTGCAGCCTCACCTTTCGCAGCTGGCTTCATGCAGGTGTGTTGAAGTCACCGTCTTTCCTCTTTTTGATGACCTGTCCAGCGTGTTACCCCAACTCTCACCCATTGACCTCTGAGGCTTGACACCAACTCTCTGTGAAAATCTACCCCCCAAAAAAGGATGAATGGTTTATATTTTGAAATCTTGATTTGAAGTTTTGTTTTCTGTTCAACTGATTACAAACAGGTCAGGAGAACAACAACCGAACCATCTCTGGGATAACTAATTAACATGACGATAAGATTAAAACAGTGCGATGCTGTGGAATAGGCTTGTAAAACTACCTTAAGAAGATTTTATTTCTTGAACTTCTCAGGAATTATCTGCAGCCTGAAGCAGCACATAAAAAGTAGCTAAACACATTCCAGTTATCTGTGCTTGTATATCTGAGAAGAAAACCCTGAGGTGTCGAAAGGAAGTTTATGTCGACACAAACCCTTTCTCTTACTGTGCCACAAACAGGGAGAGGCCACCACATGAAGAATATAAGTATTTACTGCCATTCATTTGTTGCATTTCCATTTTCTTGTTGCCTGTTTTTTATTTTTATTCTATTCATTTCTTTTTTTTATCTCTCGCTGGGCAGTGAAAGAAATCGACCTGGCTTTGTGGAGGAGTGCAGAGGCCATAGCTAACGATAAGAGGGAGTTCATGAATGATGGAGAGTGGGAGCTCCTGTCCATTCCCTCACAGTACTGGCAGATCCAGCAGGACGGCGCTGACTACGCCCAGATCCAGTTCAATGTGTGTTTCTAACGTACCCAAACATTTATCGTATTAATTCCAGAGGTAACCGCTTTTTTTATTAGAAAGGTAAAATAAAGAAGTCATTCTGATCTTTGCAACAACTGAGCGAGCGCGATTGGGATTGCTTGTTGTAAACTGTAGCCCTCCACGGATCGCCCGTAAAAACTGTGTGTCAGAGCAGAAGTGTAAAAGTGTAAAGCAATTGGCTGCGACCTTCATGGATAGAGCAACAGAGCTAATTCCACACGATGAGGCTGTGGCTGCTTCTGGCAAGTAAAGAGACGAATGGAGAGGGAAGCTGATAGACAGGGGAGGGTGAGCAACCATAATGAGACTGTCTCAGTGGCTGCCTGATCAATGGACCTCTTGTTAGTTGGGAGCAAAATGGCTCCAGAGCCCATTGCAGGTGGAGAGCAGGGAGGGCCGCTATTTATTCAGCTCAAAGAACGAAGGCTCCTTGGTAATGGGGCATTTCATGGCTCACTGAGATATTGTAAGACTGTGGCAGTCTTTTTCTGTGAGCAGACATGTTATATAAAGTGGTTCTCAACAATTCTGGAAAAGTTAGGTTAAAAAAACACAACAACTTTTCGGTTTTATGACTTATGATCAAACCAACAAATCAACCCACTGATCATAACTGACAAAGAAAATGAGGAATATTTTCCTTACTAAAAAATGAATTAATCTTTTATTACATTRAAAAAACAAGCTCAGCAGATGGCCACATGTTGTTCTGCCTTTACACAACAGAGAAATATTGCAGCATATTCAACATTTATGATTGCCTTTTAGAAACAGAGCCACATGTTGCTACCAGAGGCTCAACGCATTAAAGTTTTCAACATGAAATCATTTTTTATCTATTTAGTTTTTCACTTTTGAATAAATAAAAAAACATCATGCAAGCTGTGCATGATCGTGTCATTTTGGATTTCCTTAAAAATAAATGACAATAACAAATCCTTGTTACAGTCAGAGATGTAAATTAAGCTTAAAAAAACAAGCACAATTAAACTGAAATACTGAAATAAAACTTATGTTACAAAACTATGATAAATGTGGTAAAATGCAGGCTAAAAATTTTTAGTACATTAAATATACAGTTTTAGTCCCTCTCTGATGTGCTTCTCTTTCACTTCACTGCCTTTCTGCTAATCATAAGAACATAAAGTACATTTAACCAGATTACCAGCTTTTAATAGGTTTATGTGTTCATCGTTATGTTTGTTAAAATTACACAATATGACAGAGATGAGTGATTTCTTTGGATGAACAATATATATACATATATAT